TTACAGCCCTCCCAACATTTTCAGTCAGCACATAATTCCACATATGTTATTTTATAATTTGTCTTTATAATTATTCTAAAATGTAGAAAATAGTACAAATAAACCTTTAATACAGTATGAGTAGATGTGTCTAAACTTTTGAATGTATATGGCCAATATTGCAGCTTGGGAAACATACTTTTCTGACCCCACTAGTAAAAATCCATAGAGAGGATTTAGACACAAGATGAGTCAATGAAGTCAGTGACCCAAACAGAAGACGAGACAGAAACAGGTAACTGGAGGCAAGGAAGATTAAGTGAATTTCTGGCTTACAAAGTTTACTTGGTTTTGGAAAAACCACAACATACATTTACACAAACACATACATGCCTATTCCTATATTACATTTTCATTTCAAATGTATGTAATAGGTTTCTGACAACAATGACTGAAAACATAACCAGAGGTAGTTCTGTGGCCTGACACCTCTAGGGGGGTCAATTTCTAACCCCTGCCACGTGTGTGGAGGTCACATGTTCTCCATGTGCTTCCTCCAGGTCCTGCGGCTTCCTGCCACAGTCCAAAAACATGTAGGCAGTTGAACTGGTGTCTCTAAATTTCCTGTAGTACATGTCTGTGTACATATGTAGATTTACTTGTACAGTACAGAGCTCTCTGGCCTTGGGCCCTGGGATTCCTGGTATACACTCATACTGACATCAGAATAGCACATCTGATGAACCCCTAGTTGTGGGTCTTTTTTCCTGCCATCCCATAATCATGCATGCATGTCAAAAATTCCTCCGTGCAAACACTAATCTTGGATTATGGGTCAGTTTCAGTCTGACACACGTTTGCAGCCGCCGACGGCATGTTTATTTAATGCTGTTTGGAGTGTCAGTGTATAAAAAAACCACACGTGTACAGTTTTAGTAAATTAATCACACAGTGTATTATCTGAAGGCATATGCTCACGGATTTAATTTTTGCACGCGCCACTAAAAGACCTTATCTATTTAATTAATCTTGTCATGGATACTCAGCTTATTAAAAAGAGCCATTTTTATTCACGTCGCATGGTTGCTTAATCCAGGATGGAGCTCCAGATAACACTCACATACAAAACTCAGCGTCTCGTGTTTCTGTTCTCTCCACACACCAGCACAGCTTGGGAAATGGCACCCAATTTTTTTTTTTTTCCAAACAGCTTTTCAGGAACTTAATTAAATAATGGGTGCAGAAATTATACAACGTCCCTCTTCCGTGACACCTTATTCAGTAAAGGTGATGTCTGGCCGTCACAAAGAACGCAGTATAGGGAGCTTTAAACTACAGCAGCACCACAGATGTCCGGCTACAAGTGCCAACGACTCATCTACCATACTGCCCGAATTATATCCACTCCAGATATAACATTATTTTATAAAATCAAAATATACAAGTGTGCATATACACTGTATGTATGTGTATATAGGTGGGTATGTATTTGCCTTGTTTCCATGAAAAAGTTAGTCTTCATCAGCTAAAACAACTTATCCTGCTGTTACCCAACCTGCTTCTCGGGGACCCACAGACGGTCCATGTTTTTGCTCCCTCCCAGCTCCCTAAAGAAGCACTTATTAGTGTGTTAATTAAAATTATTGAGAAAATGGGTTATATTAATGAGATACCAATAAGAATCATTCACATCTTGGGTTCTTGGTTTAACCACAAAGTTTGGACCAAAGGTAATGCTCATCTGTTCTCCCGTCTAGTAACCTCACAGGACTGAGCATCAAGATTGGATGGGTCTTCATCAGTGTTTCCCAATCCAGTCCTCAGGGACCCAAAGACAGTCCACGTTTTTGCTCCCTCTCAGCTTCTGGTGGGGAGCAAAAATGTGGACTGTCTGGCAAGGAGCTGAGAGGGAGCAAAAACGTGGACCGACTGTGGGTCCCTGAGGACCGGATTGGAGAATACTGGCTTAACCTGATCACCAAAAAGACCTTGTCATGGCCAATAGAATGGAATCCCTGTAATCCGCAGGTAACAAGCATATATCTAAGATGGGACATTACAGAATACCCCGTTTTATACTATAGTATAATAAATACTAAAAAACTAAACACACAGACTGGAAAAAAAACACGTGTGTACGTTGGCTTTAGCTGTTGTCTTATCGATTGAGAAATGTTCATTATACATAAGCCAGAAGTGGACCATATATATTCATGAATAGATATAATTGGGCCCATTCACAAATGCTCAGTGTTTGTTCAGTGCTAACAGGCAAGACACCAACTTTCCACTGATGTTTGAATAAATCAAATGTTTCAGCCAAAATGCGATTCATGAAATCAAACGCTGCAGTTCTGACAGAAGCACTCGCGTCTTTAGGTGAATCTGCGGGTTTCTTTTTTTTAAAGCAGCCCAACGTTTTCGTGCATTTCCTAATTGGACAAGATGTTCCGAACAAAATGCCAGAAGCTGCCTGAAAATGAAAATGTAAAAATAGATGCAGCCTTTCGTGTGGAATCCCTGGAAACATAAGCGATCGGAGTCTCACAAAGTGTGATTGTTGATTGATTGTTGCCTTCTCTGCAATCAGCTCCGGCCTTTAAACATCAGCCTCTCGTGCCGTTTAACTTGCACAGATTACTGCTTTTCACTCTTGCCACTGTACAGTACAAGGCAATTTATTGGAACAATTTAGGTCAAGAACCTCATTCAGAGGTCAACGACTCTCCCCTTAGGCGATCTGATCTAGCAATGTCGTCAGCTGCCGTTTCTGGAAATATCCATAACAAAATTCATATACGATGCCTGTATACAGGCAACAGAAGAGGCTACTTCAGTAGGAAGGTTTCTGCACAACCCTGTAGATTTCTACCCAGCTGTGGGCTTCCATGCCTCCATCCATCTCCTAACCACTTATCCCGGTCAGGTTTGCTGTGCTGGATCTGATCCCAGAGAGCACAGAGAACAAGGCTGGAGTGAACCCTGCATGCCATTACACAGCTGGGCAGCTGTGTCTTTCTCCCTTGTTTATGTACTGTTCCCCTATCCATGGCAGGTCAGTAACGTCTGTGCCACCTCATGCATTGTCCACACACACACACACACACACACACACACACACACACACACACTGTCCATTCATGTAACATTTTCTTAAATGTTTTCCACTAGCTGTTTGTCAATTTTTTATCATTGATTTCAGTTCTGCAACACAATGTTCTTTAAAAAAATATTGTAACACTTTACTTGAAGCTGTGATCTATAATGCATTATAGATATGTTCATAATGCATTATAATGGTTGGTATAAGAATGCATAAATCATTATAGCATCTTCTATTGAGTCAAAAATATTATATGTTGATTCATAAGCTCCAATGAAGTTCTTATCTACAATGCACCATAGATACCTTCATAATGCATTATAATGGTTGGTATAAGAAGTAAGGCTGATTGGACTGCATTATTAAGGTATCTATAGTGCATTATAGATGAGAGCTTCATGAAGCCTTCATAATGCTTAATAAACATGGCTATAATGTGTCACTAAATTTCATTAAAGTTGTTTTTAATAAACATTAATAGTCATGTTAATAATGCTTTATGAATGCATTATAATGTGTTATGAATGTGTCCATAGATTCTTATAGACATGGCATTCATAGAAAATATTTTTGACATTCAAGTAACTTCCAAGCAGAATCCCATCTTTAGTAGTATTGTTATAGTGAAGTGTAATCATATTCATACTCAAGGAAATATTTATTCTTTCAGGGTGCCCTTTATAAAAGAAAGGAAAAAGGGCGACATTGGATTTCCAGAAGAGAGCTCATGGCTGATGGGGGGGTATTACAGTATAAAGAGATAAGTTTATATAAATAATTTTAGCACTTTTATTTTGTGTAGTGTATACCAATGTGAACCTAATGTGATGGAAATATTGTTATAGTGCATGGCATTGACTTTGTGCCTATGTGCATTTTTACACAAAGCATTTGGTATGACACTCATTAGTCAAATTCCAACATCAATTATAAACTCTCTGCAACAGTGTAGCACCTCCTGTTTCGAGCTGTGCAGCAAGACAATGTGTCACGTGGCATATTTGCGCTCTATTCATAAACGTCATCATTAGTAGAAAGGTCCGTTTTTCCGCATCACAGCGACTATAATTTTTTGCCACTGTTCTTTGAAGCTGCTAGTTAGCTTCACAGCACATTAGAAATACAAACTGGCGGAGTCATTTGTATGATTGTGGGAAAAACATAAAACTATATTTCACACAGTAGCCACTGCAACTGATGTAAAAGATGCAGATATTCCGTGATGCAAAATTACTCTCTAAAAGAAATAATAACACCGATGTTTCCAAACAGACCAGGGGTTTTGCCGATGGACAAGCATTTGCATTTTTACAGTCTGCCTGCTGCCAGACTCGGCTCCAGGCGAGTTGTATACAAGGCGCTGCGAATCTCATTTGACTGCCAAGCCTGTACTGTAAATTTGCCTGCCGACTGGGACGAAAAGGTTAATCCAGATTTAAAACTACCGTCCCCTGATTTGCTTGTGTTTGCAAAAGAAAAGAGTAAAACACGTTGGAGCAGGGATGGAGTTTGTATGAGCCTTTACGACAAACAGAAAACTTCAGAACCATGGACAAGTAACAAATAAAACGCGGGAACCGAGGGCTCCAAAAGAGACTGTTGATATCCGTTTTCATAATATAATACACATAAAGGCTTCACACTAAAGCGGTATTATTATTATTATTATTATTATTATTATTATTATTATTACTATCTTTTAAATCCGTCGTTTTCGTTTCATGATCGGGAAGTAAATCCACGTGCTGTTTGCCTTGCAGCAGTTACCTGCATAAATCCTGCATACATATTTTTGAAAACATCATACACATGTTCCTTTCTGAACTGATTAACCTCGGCTAAAGTGCCACAGCTGACTGCCGCGCACTAAACCCCGAGGGGTAACGTCACTCCCCACGACAGATCAGCATCAGTCTTCCGTAGCCTGCGATCACACTCGTAACTGCGAGAGGCAGGATCGCATCCCTCTTTTTAGAACGATCTGAGATGTTCGTCAAGCGAAATCTTACTACACCTTCTCTCCCCCGATTCCTTATTCCGGCGTCGCCTTGGGCTTTGCAGCGGCTGATCTGCGCTCACTTTCGGGAGCGCAGCTAAATAAAAAGAGAAAGGTCACACGAAGTGGGAGATTTGCGTGCGCCGAGGATGATTTGTGACAACCGGGAGCTCATCAAGCTACATCGGCAGTAACTTAAAAGATCACAGTTAAAACGGGTTTACACTCAAGCGGCTGAAGATATTTTTTAATCATGCCTGTTCGGAGAGGTCATGTCGCGCCTCAGAACACGTTTCTGGGCATTATTATAAGGAAATTCGAGGGACAAAGTAAGTACCGTGCGTTCATACCCCTCTATGGCACACTTAAGCTACAAAGTACACAGCACGATACGATGCATGTTTTTAAAAGGCTTTACCTTGTGTTTCTGCCTTTAAAAAGTAAATATGGAAATTAATGGCAACGTTAGAGTGTCCAGGCAACTTACGAAAATATTTTAAGTGATATGCTCATTAAGAGAACAGAAACGATATTTAACTTGAACTTCAACGTACGTTTTCTGACTAACATTATGATCCAACTATCTAGAGATACAGATCGACGAATTCGTAAGAACGTCCGAGAATAGGCAGTTCGTGAACAAGTATTAACTGCGAGACATAACATCGCTGACTGCAGTCATTGACAAATCCACCGCACTTATTTATCAGAGTATCAATTACATGCTAACTGAGCACTGCATTCAAAAACCAACCTGAATACATATTTACTTATTTACGCTACATGTTCAGTTATTTAGAAAAATAACTGAGTTATTTAGAAAAAATAATAAGGCGGAGTTTTTTTTTTCACACGTTATGCATTATCGTAATTATGGATAACATGTTTTGATGTAAAATCTTAATTTTACTCTCTTCTCATTTTTTTACGTACACAAAAGTTCAAATATTTTTAAAAAGAAAATTATAATTGATTTATATGATTAGTCCGCCTGTGATTTTGCATTTTATTGGTAGTCCTATGTGAAAGGTAAACACACACATTGTAGGTGTGAATGCATATAAGGCAATTCAAAACCTCAGGGAATCTGTCTCTTAAAAATGGTGGGGAAACATTAACAAAATACATATTGCTTTATTTTAGACAAGAGGTTCGTCATAGCCAACGCCAGAGTGGAGAACTGTGCCATCATCTACTGTAACGATGGCTTCTGTGAGATGACAGGCTTCTCCAGGTCGGACGTCATACAGAAGCCGTGCACCTGTGACTTCCTCCACGGCGAGCTCACCAAGAGGCACGCCATCGCACAGGTGGCTCAGGCCGTGCTGGGCTCTGAGGAGAGGAAGGTGGAAATCACATACCATCGCAAGGACGGTAAGCCTGGGGTTATTCTGGGTCACGGAGGGAGGAGTTTGTGGCCTCTGGGGTAATCCGAAATAACTAACTACAGCGATAACTACAACCAAACGAATGTGGTGATGTTTAGGATAATAGTAATCTGATAAGGCGACAAATAAAAGCATATTGACTTTTGTTTCATTTGTTTTTCTATAAATCCAAGCTAGTAAGAGATTTAGTTTCTCTGAAGCATCCTTTAGATCACAGTTTATGGTGCAGACACCCACAGGCGGTGAGATGTTTTCCTTAGTCTGAAACAACTCCGTTGCAGCATCTAGAACACCACACCGTTTTGAGGGGACAGAAGTAGAGAAGTGGTTTTGGGTGAGAATTCGTTACCTAAACTTTGCTGGCTCAAGTCTCAGGAGAAGCCTGGCCGTTGTATCCTTGAATGAGCTACTTAACCTCAATTACTCCAAGCAAATGAGGGAAAAAAAAAACGTGTGGGTCACTTTGGAGAGCCTGTAAATTTAGAAGAGGTACACCATGGAGCACTGAACCAATGTCAGACCTGGCTGCAACTTGGACTTGCTTTTGGGAACATGGACGGTACCTGGCATTAGTAAAAATAGAGCTTTGGTAATTACTCAACAGCTAATGACCTAGAGTGGCGAAGTGACTCAGGAGGAAGTGTTGTTGCCTTACGGACCTAAAGGCTGGGGCGGTTTTAATTCCACCTCTGGCATGCGGTTAAGGGTCTTAGAGACCCCAAAGAATTGCCTATAATGTATGATTGTGTGTGCATGTGAGTACGCTCTCTATGATGGACTGGCAGCCCATCCTGGGTGTACCCTAGATTTCCACCATGAGGTTTTTGACGATATCCCCAAGCAAGATAAGCACTTTGAAGATGGGTGGGTAGAACCATCATAATCAACACTGGTGTTTTACCATGTTTATCAAATGCATCATCAAACTCTTTGTGGGGCAAACTGTAAACTATGGAAAGGAAATATTTAATCAGAAAATGTAAAGAACAACAAAATGTATGACACAAAAGGCTGTAAAATGTCACTTTTCAGCTACAGCTCAAACGCTTCACCTTGTCCTGCTTCATCTGGGATTGACTGCAGTCCGTCCAACTTGTCAGTGACTGAGGATAATGGAGACGTTATCTATTAGACATATACAGGCTGGAACAGCTATGGCGTTTTCATTGTTTAGGGGGATTCAGCAGCGTAGATTTAATCAATGGTGTCACACAGCTGGGACCTCTCACTTTGATCTCTCTGCCTCGAAGATGTGCCAATCATTACAGGACATCGGAGGCATCGTCAGTGGAAACTGCAAAAGTATAGCATCACCAAGTTCAAAAGAGATCATTACATATTATATTACAGTAATTTATATCCCTCTAAACAACAGCTGAAATTCAAATTTTAGTTTTTTTTTGGGGGGGGGGGGGGGGGGACTTGGCCGCAGTTTATTTTTCGTTTTTAATGCAAATCAGGAGATAAAAGAAACGTCTTGCTTTGCTTTGATGCAATTTGGACAGCAAGTGAAGCAGGGCACCTCACTGAAGCATCGTTTGACTGTAAGCAAACGTATTTAATACTGAAAAATGAGCTTAAGAGATGGAAGCCGGGTTCAAGGTTGGACACACGACACGTGGCCGCCAGCTGAATGTCAGACCCACCAGCCTGATAGCTCAGGCGTAACATTATAAACGCGACTCCTGAAACAAATCGCCTGAGACGAGGACGGGGGGCCATATGAGGTCAGGGGAAGGAGGGCTGCAGCGCCGTGGCATGGAGAAGAGCCTACCTTATCTTAGGTCCTCTACTAGGGGTGTCTCTGTCACACCTAATTTACTACATTATAGTTACAAACCAAAACCGCTATATGGTAGTTGGTGGTTTGTTAGCACAGTTGCCTTTTACCTTGCAGTCTTGTAGGCTTGAATCCCCTGCTCTATGCATGTGTTGAATTTCTATGTTTTTCCTTTTGTTCGTGCAGGATTTCTCTTGGTTATATAGTAATATTGTCTACATCTATTGTCTATTGATGATTCAGATACATACAAGTCTTACATAGCATGAAGTCGGACTGAAAGAGCAGATTTGTCAATGGAGCGTAACAGGTTAGAACATTAAAGTTTTGACCTTCTGGGGGAGTCCATTGTGTACCTTGCTGAATTGGGCACATCATTGTCCTAATGATGTGTTAAACTACACTATAGCAGAACCACTGTTTTATGATTGAGCAGATTAGGTGCACAAACATCTCACCCCTGCAGTGAGTTGCATTTCTCTGAATCCGGGCAATTTGTGAAAATGGTCAGATCCAGCTTTTTTTTTCCCATGAGATCCAGGATCTTTGGTGTAATTTCAATGCAATCCCAGAGCCTGTAATTGACCACACGCAGGCCTGTTATATCCCCTATGCATCATGCGGGACAAACCCACCTCAGCGCAGCTATAGGACTGGCATGGGGATTCATATTTTCAATCCTCAAGTTAAAAGATGACCATTCTTCTAATCCCCTGTAAATCTGTTAGGAAATCCACAGTAAAATACTGAGGCAGGAATCAGATTTAGCATAGTATATTTATTGACATAGATGTGAAAATTTGAATTAGGCAAGTCCTCTGAGTATTCTAGGTGCAGTAGTAGCTTTGTAGTGAGTAACTATGTGTGTGTGTGTGAGAGAGAGAGAGAGAGAGAGAGAGAGAGAGACTGAGCCCTGTGTTGGATTGCCATCCCATTCAGGGTGTCCCCTGTTTCATGCCCTACAATCCCTGGGCCAGGCTCCAGGCTCACTGTGACCCTATACTGGATAATGGATGGATGAATTCGGCAAATTTGATTGAGACAAGTAATTTTTTTCTGGATTGTAGATTATGAGGTTTAATTTTAAACATCTTGCATGCTGGTTTTGACTGTTGTGACATCATATCCACCAGTAACTGATCTAAAAATTACACAGCATTCAGAGGCGGGAAGGGGAGTTCAGCAAATTCAAGTCACTCTGTCTGAGCTACTCTCCGCTATTCATCATCTCATATACTTTCAGAGGTGACTCTAATTCATAGGGCAGGTGGAGTTCACTGAATCTATCCTGGAGAGTTACACTCAAGAGGAAGGCAGACACAAGGTGAACAGGCAGCATCTAAAAATAAGCATCTCTTCCACGTGCATCAATTCATCAGTATGTCTGCCTCTCCGACATCGATACCACATCGATATCACAGGTATCCAGAAACTAATGGCTGCATTTAAGGTTTCTCCCATATGGTTGGAAAAGATGGAGAAAAAACACTTCTTTGAGTGGTTGGTGTGCTCTATTCTGATGTCAGTAATTTTGTTTTAGGGAAAAATTAGCTCTCTTGCTGACATATAATTTTGTTAGAGGCTCCAATCAGGAGATTCGATGTAAGAGAGTCTGGATTTCTCACGCTGAGGGTTTCTTGTGCTGTTATGTTTTGACTGCCAGCCGGGAAATGTCAAAATCTGACCACAGGAAGGATGTGGAGGTAGTTATTCCAACAATATGGCGCTCCGGCCCATTTTATAGTGTAGCTGACTCAGCCACTTTCCTGTGTCACAGTATCAGCGCGTTGCTCCCTCACTGTAAAGTCACCAGCAATAGGAATCTTATTAACCTTAATGCGTTTTTTTTTTTTTTTTTTAACAACAGGCTGCATGTGCTGTGGGTTACTGGAGATGGGAAAGATCCATTGAGGGAAGTTGGGAGATTAGAGGAAACGTCACTTTGCGATTTGAGAATGTAACAAACATCCTCAGTTTGGACCCATTGATACACGAGTGAGGCTGACAGCGATACAGACCATGCAGACGGCCCTATAAGATATCCCCACTGGCTTAATTATGATTACCTAGTGATATAGTACGATAAAATAATGCCAAAACATAAAAACGATAGCACGTCAACTGACAGGATGTCAGTCCATCACAGGACATATATAGACACCATAGGCAATTTCAAGACATCGACTGGAGAACAGGCAAATTTCATATACAGAGTGGTGGCATTATTTCAACCCCCAACCCAGGAGTCATGAGGCAATAGGGTTACCCCTGGAGGGACTGTGCCATGCTTGAGGTCACCCCATTAATATTAAATGAGCGATGTGGGTACAGTAGTGTCAGGTGCACCGGAGTTTCTTGGGATTTCCATCTTCGAGTCACGACAGCATCGTAAGTTGGCCAATCACTGAAATACTACCCCCTTTTGCAGACATGGTGTGGCAAAGTAACCCGTACTTTTTGCTTTTTTGACTGGATCTTCAAGAATTACAGTGGGAGACGTTGTATTAGATCCTAGAATTTGTGATGGAATGAGTCAGCATTATTAAGATGCACATCTTTTAGGTAAATTAAGGTTTTTGTCTTCATTTAAAAATCCAGTAAAAGAAATCATAATTATACATAAGGTAATTTGCCAACTGTCTATTGGGAATGAGTGTAAGACTTCAGAAGGGGTGAGGGGAAACTTTTTAGGAGCTAAATTCAGCTGAAAACATGCAGCCATTTCAGCCTATGCATGGAGTTTACACTGTGAGCCTGACTGAAGCTGCTGGTGAATCCTGATAAAAGAGGAGCCATATGGTGTTAGTGTGTAGAATCTGAAAAAGGATCTTCTCTATTGTGTGAACCCACTGTCGTGTTGACAGCTAGGATTAGGACACGTGTGAGGTGTCGGTGTATCGTGTGTGTCCTGGATGGCAGGTTGCACAAAGACAACTTGTTTCATTATACTTCTTTGGTTACTATACTTCATGTCTTCCTCAGTTTGGACTATTAATGTGTGTGTGTTTGTGTTTGTGTGTGTGTGTGTGTGTGTGTGTGTGCACGTCCGTGTGTGCATGTTTGTGTCAATATGTATATATTTCTATATACATGATTATTTATCCATTACATCTAGCATTATAAAAATCATAAGAGAAGTATTTGTGAATCCGTTCTGCAAATCTATGCCAAAATAAAGAGACAAGAGAAGTTTTTAATTGCAGTTT